TGCTGAACAGCATTCGTGTGCTGCTCACAGCCTCGCGCTGTCTGAACGGAGTGTCTCATGCAGTTTCACCTCCCCTTTTCAGTAGTGCTGCTTCAGGATTGAGTCTTCAAATCATATGATCAGTGCCATAGCGATTTTATTCTGCATACTAAATGAGGCTTCCCCACGAGACACTGCTAATATCTGCAGAGAATCTCAGGTAATTGAACCCCTCCCCTAGGCAGACACACACACACACGGAATTTGCTAGCTTTCAAGTAATAATCCAGCAAGCAGATCGGAAAGAGTTTATGATGCTTTCTGGCCTGTGTTCTGGCAACGTAAAGGATTCTCGTCGTCTCCTCTCCAGCAGATGTTGCCAAGCCAGAGATAAAGTTACAGACACAAAGAAATACTCAGAGCAGGGACCACACTGCAAACCACTGCTGCAGTAGTTATCGCTCTACTGTGTATAGGAAATAAAGGAATGATTATAAAATGATGCTATTACAAGATCTACATGTTATCAAATACACAAGAGATGAAAAAATGAAGTAACCTTTAACAGACTGTAAAAGAACCGGTAAAAGTACCCAATTCTAATTTCTCCTGTTGTTTAAGCCTTACCAAATATACCTTCAAAATCAGCTCTGTATTCATATGTTATGACACCAACAGCACAAAATGCGGATGCAAGTCCTTATCCTTTTTTAATTAATTTCCCTGTGATCACTGGGAATGCTCTCATCTTTGGCAACAGGAAGGCATCACAATTACCATACCAGACTCACACCAACAGAAAAATTAGATGATGAGCTCTTGTGCTTAGAAACACCTGTAGCCTAACTCTTGTTCTTCCTACCAATGTTTCATGTCACCTAAAGTTTTTCTCCCAGTCTCTGGATTTCTCTTTGGAGTTGTAAGTCGGATACTGAAACAGGAATGATGCTGAAATGGCCTACTAAAGGCTTCGAACATTTATTTTGAATTCCTATTACCCCTGGGCTCCTCCATCCTCACTCATTTCCCTGTATGTCTCAGAAATTATACAACTTGGCTAGGTTTTGTTTGAAGGAGATTAATGTGCATTTTATAATATAAACCAGGGAAGAATGACTTAGAGAGCTTATCTGCCAATGCAAGGTCCACCCGATCTGCTGCTCACATGCCTCTCTCGAGCCATTCTTAATTACAGCCCCTCCAATGTGAGATTTATAGATTCTCGCAGAATCCGTACATTAGATTTCAGAGGCCCCTTTTAAACTGGGGGATTAAAAGCCTGACAGAAATGATTAAAGCAGTTTGAGAATGCATATGTGTATGAATGTTCTGTATGTTTATATATATGTATAGCTACAATATCTACGATGGTTAATTGTTCAAAATCCTGTTTCCCTTTTGGCTTTGATAAATACATTGTAGGTGCTGGGAGACAACATCATGTTTCTGTGCACACCCTCAGCTTTACCCACAACAGCAGGAAGAGGCGCAGCCATACACAGGCACATATACACACGAGAGGGCATTGCATTTTTTTCTTCCCCTGAGTTTTTCAGAGATGCGGGTCACACTTCCAAGCATTTTGTCATATAGCCATGAAACTAGAAGTGGGCTTTTCTTCAGAATAAAATTCTAACAGTTTGCTTTCCTCGCTGCGAGATCTGCGCGGTGTGGTGGCTGGGGTCCAGGCGAGGGGGAAGCGGGGCGAGTTGGTGAAGGTGAAGGACTCCAGATGCCGATGGTAACGAGGGGAAGCAGTGGTGAGCGCTGAGCTGCCCGAGCGAACCGGGACACAAAAGGCCTTTCCTGCGTCTGGAGAGGAGCATGCCTGCAGGCAGAGCATGTCATCTGCCATAGTAAGAAACTAGTTGCTGCTGTGGGTATTTACTGTGGGAGCAGAGCCCGTCCTGCCCAAGCCGCTCAGCCGCTTTGGGAGGAGGGAGGAGGGTGCTTCATCCCCGCCGGGGCCTCAGTGGCCCCAGCTGCACGTTGTTTCCCCAGAAGGGGATGAGCAGTCCCCCTTGATGACTTCCCTCAAAACCCGCCCACAGCTGGGCTCAGGGTGAGATAAGGACAAACACATCTTTGAGGGCTCCCGCCAGGGCAGGGGCTCAGTGTGGTGCAGGGGAAGCTGCAGGTTACCTCTGTCAAAAATGCATGTTCCTCCTGAAGGCAGCTTTTAAGTAAGAACCCGTTTCAGATGAGCTTGTGCCTCTGCTTGGGTGAGCTGTTCCCTGGGCACCGTAGGGCTCCACGTGCTCTCCTGAGCAACAAGTGCTCTACCTCAGACATTTATTTCATATTTTTCTCTGAAGCTGTTAAAACATGAAATCTTGCCACTGACTGGACCAGAAAACATCCCCAGTGCGTCGAGCTCGGTGTGTTCCCTCAGCCGGAGCCGTCTGGCCCTGTGGAGAGGCAGTGCCTCAGGGAGACGGGGCCTGGGGAAATGGCGGCCGCCTCTCCACACAGTGCTGCCGGGGAGTGCAGGCCAGGAAGTGGGTGCTGAGGGACTGAGGCTCTAGAGAGGGGATGCTCAAACCTCCTGTTTAAAGGACGCAAACTCCAGCTGAATAACGATTGTGAGCAGACTGCACTGCAGCAGGGCAGCCGGTGTGTGATCCTGGAGGATGAAGCAGGCGCCTGCCGTGAAGGCTAAAAACTGAACCCTCAGTGGACTGTGGATGATCTCTCCAAGCTTTGCACCGAGCGGATTTTGCATTATAGAGCCACAGGCCATTCTGAAGCAGAGTCCTGGCTCGTTTCCTGCTAGTTCAGCAAGGTCCCTGCACCTGAGTGTGGGCGGCCGCAGGGCTCCACACCGGGGCCGGCCTGCGCCCTCCGGGGAGCCACACTGCTCTGGGGCTGCGGCTGTAGGAGCCATTTGAAGGTCTGAGGTGGACACGAGACTCCAGCACTGCTGCAATGTGGACGTGGACACGTGAGTTCTGTGCTTTTTGTTTCTGTTGTTTGTTCATCTGGGGACTCACAGCCCCACATGGGACTCCCCTCAGTGAGGTGACTGTGCGGCCCACTGGGAGCACTAATGCAGTGCACCGCTTCCATTGTGCCGCAGTAAGGTTTCTTTTCAGCTGATTTAAATTGAGATAGCTATTTCTTGCTTTTGGGAAAAGCATCCATTTAATGCTGTTGTGTTCTTGGGCAATATTAAAATCTAGGTTTGTGTATTTCTGCACTGCCTGCTGAGGCAGGAGTGCTCCCTCTGAGCACCTCTGCAGGGCCGCCCATTCTTAGAAGGGTCTTGAAACTTTCTTGAAAACTCTCAAATAACTTGCAGGTAAGTTCCAACTCTGCCCAGATCCCCCATCGTGTAAATGCATGGACTGCCACTGATATTGCCATGGTCTCATGTTAAGAGTATCCACTCCAGGAATTTGCTTCCCCATTAGCTTAAACTAAAGAATGCCAAGAGCAGAAGCAAGTGGAGCCGAACCCACAGCGCCTCAGTCGAGGTGACTGCAGCTGCCTCGGGGAAACCGAGCAGAACTGGAGCCACTAGTATGTCACTTCCCTGTAAATTATGTTTGGAAACAGTTCAGACAGAGTTTACTATACATGTGTCAGTGATACTCCAAGTTTGGGTAGAGACCAAAATCTGAATATTGTCTCATAATGTCAAAGCAGTCACCATAAGCGGGGGGTGGGGTGGGGGGACCGACCCACACGGCACAGGCAGGGGCAGGGATGGGATAGGACAGGGGGACACACAACACTACATGTACAGCTATTTCTTAAGTTTGAAAAAATAGCAAAATTTTTGTGTTAGTGTTCTGTGCAAAGCAAGCGTAAACCTTCAAGCACCAGGTGTTCTTCAGCTGTTTGAAGTTTGGGGAGTGTCCGGGGGGTATTTTCAGGTTACCTTTAGAATGTTTTCTCCAGTAATTTGGGCTTACAAAGATAACTGGATAAATTTATATATTGCCATCTCTCAAAAGCCAAATTCTTTGCCTGGTCCTGTGTCTTCTGCAGTGTTATTCCTAGGTGAGAGGATCAGGTTAGCTCAGCCCCCGGGTTGAGGGGGGGCCGAGAACACCCTGCAGGTACAGCCACGTGCACTCTTGGTCTCAGAGTGCCACGGGTGCTGAGAGTCTGCACGTGGCCTCAAGGTATTTGTTTTCTGCATGCAATGTGCACATGGGAATCCTGTGATGTTCATGAGCGCTCCATGCTGGGTCCGAGATGGCTGTTTCCCTGGACGTACATGTGCGGTGTCTAATTGTAGCAAAACAGGCTGCCCAGCGAGATAAGGAGTACTGCCCCTACCAGCCCCGTGGGTGGGGAAGTCTCTCTGGGCTGGTCTGGTGGAGTGGGCTGCAGCCCGTCGCCACAAGAGTCCGGTTTGAGGTCCTGCTAACTAACGTGTTTGACACGT